TGCTGCCTCCAAGAGACTTATTTCATAGGAAAAGACATCCATAGACTGAAGGTGAAGGGTTGGGAAAAATCATACCACTCACATAGACTGCAGAAGCAAGCAAGGTTTTCCATCCTCATATCAAATAAAGTAGACTTCAAACTAAAGTCAATCAAAAAGGATAAAGGACATACTGCTCAAGGGAACCAAACACCAACAAGACTTAATTGTAAATATATATGCCCCAAACAACGGAGCACGTACGTTCAAAACAAACTCTTCTCAAGTTCAAGAGTCGAATACACCACAACAAAATAATTCTGGGTGACTTTAACACACCTCTTTCATCACTAGACAGATCTTCCAAACAAAAGCTGAACAAAGAAACTATAGAACTCAATAACACAGTCAATAACTTAGACTTAACTGACATATATAGAATATTTCATCCTTCAATGAGAGTGTATATACTTTCTTAGTGGCACATGGATACTTCTCTAAAATAGACCATATATTTTGCCACAAAGCAACTCTTAGAAAATATAAAAAAAAATAGATACACTACCTGGAATTCTATCAGATCATAATGGAATGAAATTATAAATCAATTATAAAAAAGAAAAGCTACTTCAACACCTGAAGATTAAATAATATACTTACTGAATGGGTGGCAGAAGACATCAAGGAGGAGATTTAAAAAATTTTTTTAGAGATGAATGAGGACACAGATAGAACATATTGAAATCTCTGGGACACTATGAAGGCAGTTCTAAGAGGAAATTTCATTGCATGGAGTTCATTCCTTAAAAGAAAAAGTCAACAAATGTCTTAACATTACATCTCAAAGCCCTAGAAAAAGTAGAAAAAGAGGAATAAATCAACACCAAAAGCAGAGCTGAAATCAATGAAATTGAAACAAAAGAAACAATTGAAAAAGCTGACAGCACAAAAAGTTGGTTCTTTGAAAAAGTAAATAAAATTGACAGACTCTTAGCCATGCTAATGAAGAGAAGGAAAGAGAAAACTCAAATTACTAATATATGTGATGAAAAAAGGAAATATCATGACACTACAGAAATACAGACGATAATTAGAAATTATTTTGAAAATTTTACTCCAATAAAATAGAAAATATCGAAGGCATCGACAAATTTCTAGAGTCATATAATTTGCCCAAATTGAATCAGGATGATATACACAATTTAAACAGATCAATTTTAAGTGACAAATAGAAGATGCCATCAGAAGTCTACCAAGAAAAGTCCAGGCAGAGAAGAAAGAACGTCAGATAATGAAGACAAAGTATACAATTTGGAAAATAAAGTTGATTACACAGTGAAGAAACCATGGAAAGAATATCCAAAAATTATGGGACAGCATCAAAAAGACCAAATCTAAGAGTTATTGGGATAGAGGAAGGCACGGAGTTTTAATCCAAAGGAATGCACAATTTCTTCAGTGAGATAATATCAGAAAGTTCTATAAGACCTTTAAAGAAGAATTAATACCAATACGCTTCAATTTTTTTAAACAGAATTTTTTAATATTTATTTTTTAGTTTTCGGTGGACATAACATCTTTATTTTATTTTTATGTGGTGCTGAGGATAGAACCCAGCACCCCGCACATGCCAGGTGAGCACGCTACCGCTTGAGCCACATCCCCAGCCCCCCAATACTCTTCAATTTATTTCAGGAAATAGAGGGAGGACTTCTAAACTCATTCTATGAGGCCAATATCACCCCAATTCCAAAACCAGGCAAAGATAGATCAAAAAAAGGAAAACTTCAGACCAATATCTCTATTGAACATAGATGCAAAAATTCTCAATAAAATTCTGGTAAATCAAATACAAAAACATCAAAAAAGATCATGCACCACGATCAAGTGGGATTCATCCCCATAAATCAATAAATGTAATTCATCACATCAATAGACTTAAAGAATTATATGATTATCTCAATAGATGCAGAAAAAGCATTTGACAATATAGCATCCCTTCCTGTTAAAAACACTAGAAAAATTAGAAATAATAGGAATATATCTCAACATCATAAAGGCTATCTATGCTAAGCCCAAGGCCAATATCATTCTAAATAGTGAAAAATTGAAGGCATTCCCTTTAAAAACTGGAACAAGACAGGGATGCCCTCTTTCACCACTTCTATTTAACATAGTTCTTGAAACACTGGCAGAGCAGTAAGACAAAAGAAATTAAAGGGATACACATAGGAAAAGAAGAATTCAAATTGGACTATTTGCTGATGAAACGATTCTATACCTAGAAGACCCTAAAAGTTCCACCAGAAAACTTCTAGAACTAGTAAATGAATTCAGCAAAGTAGCAGGATATAAATTCAACACCCATAAATCAAATGCACTTCTGTATATCAGTGACAAATCCTCAGAAATGGAAATGAGGAAAACTGCCCCATTTACAATAGCCTCAAGAAAAAAAAAAAAAACAATACTTGGGAATCAACAAAAGAGATAAAAGATCTATATAATGAAAATTATGGAACCCTAAAGAAAGAAATCAAAGAAGACCTTAGAAGATGGAAAGTTTTACCTTGCTCTTGGATGGGCAGGATTATCAAAATGACCATACTACCAAAAGCACTATACAGATTTAATGCAATTCTGATCAAAATCCCAATAACATTCTTCATAGAAATAGAAAAAGCAGTCATGAAATTCATCTGGAAAAATAAGAGACCCAGAATAGCTAAAGCAATCCTTAGCAGGAAGAGTGAAGCAGGTGGCAGCACTATACCAGACTTTAAACTATACTACAGAGCAATAGTAACAAAAACGACATGGTATTGGCATCAAAGCAGACTGGTAGACCAATGGTACAGAACAGAGGACAAAGAGACTAACCCACAAAATTACAATTATCTTATTAGACAAAGGTGCCAAAAACATGCATTGGAGAAAAGACATCCTATTCAACAAATGCTGCTGGGAAAACTGGAAATCCATATTCAACAAAATGAATTAAACCCCTATCTCTTACCATGTATAAAACTTAACTCAAAATGGATCAAGGACCTAGGAATAAAACCAGAGACCCTGTGTCTAATAGAAGAAAAACTAGGCCTTAATCTCCATTGTGTGGGATTAGGCCCCAACTTCCTTAATAAGACTCCTTTGGCACAAGAATTAAAATTGAGAATCAATAAGTGGGATGGACTCAAACTAAAAAGTTTCTTCTCAGCAAAAGAAACAATCTGTAAGGTGAATAGAGAGCCTACATCTTGGGAGCAAATCTTTACCCCTCACACATCAGATAGAGCACTAATCTCTAGGGTATATAAAGAATTCAAAAAGCTAAGCACCAAAAAACAACAACAACAACAACAAAACCAAATAACCCAATCAATAAATGGGCCAAGGACCTGAACAGACACTTCTCAGAAGATGATATACAATCAATCAACAAATATATGAAAAAGTTCATCATCACTAGCAATTAGAGAAATGGAAATCAACCATACTCTAGGATTTCGTCTCACTCCAGTCAGAATGGCAGATGTTATGAAGACAAACAATAGTGTTGGTGAGGATGTGGGGGAAAAGGTACACTCATACACTGCTGGTGGGACTGCAAATTGGTGCAGCCAATATGGAAAGCAATATAGAGATTTCTTGGAAAACTGGGAACGGAACCACCATTTGACCCCAGCTATTCCTCTCCTTGGTGTATACGCAAAGGGTTTAAAAACTGCATACTACAGGGACACAACCACATAATATTTATAGCAGCACAGTTCACAATAGATAAACTATGGAACCAACCTAGATGCCCTTCAATAGATGAATGGATAAAAAATGTGATCATATATATATATATATATATATATATATTCATATATTACCCAGCAATAAAAGAGAATAAAATCATGGCATTTGCAGGTAAATCAATGGAGTTAGAGAAGATATGGTAAGTGAAGTTAGCCAATCCCCAAAAAACAAATGCCGAATGTTTTCTCCGATATAAGGAAGCTGATTCATAGTGGGGTGGGGAGGGGGATCGTGGGAGGAATAGATGAACTTTAGATAGGGCAGAGGGATAGAAAGGTAAGGGAGGTGACATGTGATTAGAAATGATGGTGGGATGTGATGGACATCATTATCCAAAGTACATGTATGAAAACACAAATTGGTATGAATATACTTTGTATACAACCAGATATGAAAAAATTGTGCTCTATATGTGTAATAAGAATTGCAATACATTCTGCTGTCATGTATAAATTTTTAAAAAGAGCTTGGAAATAAACGTGTTCTCCAGAGCTTCCAAATAAGATTCAATCTGGCTGGCTTCATTTCTGCCTGTGACACCCTCAGCAGAGAACCCAGTCATGGCAGGCTTGACTTCTGATTTACAGAACTGTGAGTTAATAAATGGGTGTTATAAGAAAAGAAATAACAAATTTCATTTTGCTTCCTACTAATGATCCCATTTGGGCAACTTATTTAATCTCCTTCAGTTTCCATTTCTTTATTTGTAAAAATGATAATCTAATTATCTATTTCCAGGGTATAGTAGACTGCTTTAGTGAGAATCAAGTGAGGTTGGGCAGAACCACCCTCAGGGGAAGAATTCAGTAGCTATTCTTTCTTTCCCCCTTCTATATTCTGTAATCCTGGCCCCTCTGAAGGGATCTATATCTTCTAGCAGAATGCTAAATCCAGTGGGAAGCAATAATCAAGAATAGAAGACGATTATTATTCACAAGGAAACTAAGATGCCAGTACATTAGAACACAAGTGAAAACTTCCTTCTGTTGTCCCTTCACAGTGACCATTGTCTCTGAAGCTTGTGGTGTCACTATATAGGCTTAGTTTATGTTTTTCTTACCCCTGTACTATAACCATCTTGAGAGACTCAGCCTCAGGAAATGAACTATTCAGCTCAGTATGATTACTTGGGTACTTTGAGGCAATAGGTTCTCAGGCCTACACAGTGGCATGGGTGGCCTATTTCAAGCAGGTATGGACCCTTTGGTTCTACTCACAGGCCTGAAACGGGGTCCTGCTGGAGATAAGGCAGGGCTTTGGCATTAGCAATGATCTCCTGAGGCAGAGATGATGGCTCCATGCGTTGGAACATGGGTGCATTTTTCTGTGTTAAAAAAAAAAAAAAAGAAGTTCCCATGACACTGTGGGATCTGCTGTGGGGGGCAGGAATATAAATGACACAAGAAATGTCAGAGCATGATTTACACCTTGCTTGACTATTTTAATGGTGGACTCACTGGATTTCTAATTGCATGGCACTAGAAAGTTCTCACACCCTTCATCCCTTACTGTACTCACAGAGCACTGTGCCCCAGGGATACACATCTCCTTGGGAGCCCAAGTGACTCAAGGCCCACCCACCCAATCATCGACTTTCACCTGTTCCTCCAGCTGCTGCCTCTGCTTCTTCACCTTACTCTGTTTATAGTAGTCCATGATCATCATTGCTGCATAGATTTTTCCCACAGTCAGGTCAGAAGCTAAAAACACAAACATGGCATGACGATGAACGAGGAGGAGAGAGTAGGGATACCTCACAAGCTTTACTACCCACTCTCTGAAGTAGGTTTATACCCTCACTCACTCATCCAATGCTTATTGAGTCTCTGAGGATACAAAGTGAATAGGTCCCCATATCTGTCCTCCAGGAGTTTACAAATCCACCCAATGAGGGTGACAGTGATGATACTGATGGCAAGCAATATATTTGTAAGCATCAACTCCTAGCATTCTAGATGTCCAGATCTAAGTACCACCACCCTTTTCCCAACTGATGGGGGTTTGCTGAACAGCATGACATGGAAAGAATGACACCCAGGAAGTTTCATGCACAACCACAATGGTCTATCTTAAACTGCTTGTGATTAATAATGATTAAAGGGACTTTAGAGGGTAATTTAGTTTCCTAAGATAAAAGAGCAACCTTCCCTTATCTCCTTGATCATTCCAGGTTTCCCAAAAGATGTGGCCTTGGCATGCTGGGCCACAGTGGCAAGAATACTCAAGAGGAGACCCCACACCTTTGGGCATGGGCACAAGCAGATCCAGCATCTTCTGGGACAGGTGAGGCCAGATGGCCAGGGTCTCCTTTTGCAGCTCTGAGTCTAGCTGTTGCCTGTCTGCACCACCTAAAATACGATAAATCATTAATAAATCAGAACAGACACAAATACCAAGGACGAAGGGAATGGGTGGGGGCAGGGGCTGAATCAGCATGGCACCTCATATTCCAAGAGGAAATCTTGGCACTTAGTGACAGACAAGTCATTCTGCTGAGGAAGCAGAACACAGTTTGACTCCTATTTTCAGTGACTCAGGCCTATCCTGTCACAGACCTCTGAGATCCTGAGACCAAAACTGACTTCCTCATTGATTCTAAAAGGATCTCAGGTACTCAATACATCACAGGGAAAAATGGAATGAGCCTCAAGTAAGCCTGCCTTGCCTTACTGTGCACATATCAGTCCTCCAGCAACCCTAGCTCTATGATCCAAGTAGCCCGATTTTACAGATGATTTGGATCAGGCAAGACAAGGCAGCTAAAAGTCTGTCTAGAAGTACTAAACCTTTTCTTTCCTAGACCACTGAATTATCAATCAAGATGAGCAAAGTAATTTCATGTCCTCTATGATGACATCTATGACAGAAGACTTTTAAGAATTTAGAGAAAAGATGCCATATAGAGGGAAAATGACAAAATTTATATGCTTAACCTGCAAATATTTCTAGAATGCCCAGCTAGACACTAAAGCACATACACTGTTTAACACTCAAAGGAGCCTTAAAGATGACCAAATCGTTTATTTTACCAAAGGAAATGACAAGTGTTATGGTTGTTGAGTCTCACAGGTGAAACCAGGACCCTGCTACTTAAATTCCAGGTCACTGTATTGTTGTGTCCTTGGCTGGCAATTCATATAGCTCCATCCTGCACAACCCCTCCCTCCCTCCCTCCCTCCCTCCCTCGGCTGACCTTTGGCAATTTTAATATCCAGAGCTGTCCGGATCAGAGCCATAAGTGTGGAGGTGAAATGGACTGTCATGTCCTCAGCCACTGGCATATTCATCAGGACCAACCTCTGTGTGAAAGAAGAAAAAAACAGCAGGCAAAAAAAAAAAAAAAATATCAAGAGATACCTTGTGAGAAGGAAAGAAAAGTGCAGAGGTCAAATGCACAGACAAAAAGGAAGGGCAAGGATTCCCCATACCCCTGTCCCAGTCCTACTCTCCCTGCTTCTCACCGAAGGCTCATTTGCTGCTTTTTCCAGGGAATGATGCCAAATTCCAAGGGACGGGGGTTCCCTGATCATTCGATGGAACTCCTTCATGGGGAGTCCTAAGAATGTCTTCCAATGGGAAGGGAAGTGATTTCTAGAAGAGGCTCTGGGGAAGGAGTCAGCTCTTGGAGGTGGCTCCATTCCCTGTCTCCAGGCTGCTCTGTATTTCCACTTGTCCCATAAACGCCCCCAAACTTGATGGAAAGATAGCGACAGGTTTTGGTTTGCTTATCTGACTTGGAAAATGCATCCTGGTGCCCCCTTTTTGAGTCTTTAAAGGATGAAATTTGCCAGCCCATGATTGAACATGCATAAGTCCAACTTATCCAAAGGATGAGGTGGAGCAGGATGGACAGGGGTAAGTGCAATCAGGCTCTAGGGGAGGAAGATGGGGAGAGCAGGGGAAAAAAAGAATAAGAGATGGGGGCACAGGCAGGAGCAGAGTGGGCAGGCCCTGTTCCCCTCGCCCAGAGGAAGGAATCAAACTGAAATGGCCAAATCCACTTTCCAGAGAGTATCGTGCTTTTAGAATTATTTAACTTTCCTTCCAATTCTCTCTTCTCTCACCAAGCTTTGTCCCAGAAATTCAAAGAATTGGCCACATCCCACCACCTAGTTCTTTGGGATGTGGTCATCATGAACAAAATTAAGATAATCAGTCCTTAAGCTATAGAGGAGCTATATGCTGGGTGGATGGAGGTCCCTAATGGCCACATTCCCATGAGATGCTCTCTGGAGCGATGCAATTTGGAGGTAGCAGGAGGGCCTCTGGCAGAACCACCAGCCTGGCAGTGGGGAAGTATCTCTTGGAAAGGCAGGCTCTAGGGGAAGGCTCTCTAATACACTGTGGAACACCTTGCCTAGAGCAATTCCACAGACCTGTTTTAGTGCATAAGGACAGTTTCTAGTTTGGATTCAAGTTCTACCTCCCCAACTTCTGTTGACTTTCAGAGAAGCAGCAGTATTACTATGACATGTTCCTAATGAATGAAAGAGCTCCAGAGTTCTGGATTCATCTAAACACCAAAGGGGAATTATCAGTAATGATGACTAATAGGTGAAGGAAAATTCAGGCCCCAAAGCTACGGGCGACTTAAGGCAGGCCAGGGCCCCACCCACAAGGCTATCCTGCTAATGAGGCAGAGCTAACAAGAAGGCAACTTCTGCCCTTCATTGCCCCTTCCCTTGAGCATTTCCATGGGCATGGGGTAGTCAGGTGAAGGCGAAGAAAGCTGCGGCCCTCCGTGGACCCTGGGTTGAAGACACATTCCTTTGCAGCCTTACACTTAGGAGGAGCCTTCCATCAGTTCCTTCTTACGTCATTGGGGAAGAAACTCGTTGCCAGTTCTCCTAAAGATTTCTTCTGGAACCATGTTTAGAGGAATTTCTGCATTGTTTCCCTAATTGATCTGAATGAAGCAGCTTTGTTTCTTAATAAGCTCCGATGGCTGCACATTGTAGTTTTCTTTCCCAAATACACTGTTTCCCTGGACACCACTTTGCTGCCTCTAAAAGGAAATACACCACCTACAGTACCTCTCTAGTAACCCACTCATGAGAAGCCAAACACTTTTAGAAACACAGAGTGACACAAAGAGCCCTGTGGGGGAATAGCACTGCAAACCCCTGTCATATCCTTTCCTTTGTCCTCCTGACAACCTTCCTGACTCTCTGGTCTCCTTTTTTCCTTACTTCCCTCCTCCACCTCCCCAGCCCAGCTTCCTCCCATGTTCTGGCCTCCCCACAACTGGACCCCATCTCCTGTTGGTCTCTAGCCCAGAACAAAGGAAGGGGTGGTCTACCTTATATGCCACTTTGGAGGGACATCTCTTGCCGAGGCCTAGCGGTGGTGACATGAGAGTCAGCATTTCATACATCTCAGTGTAATGGATGCGGCCACTGCTCATGGGGGCGCGGGGGTGTAAGGACAGGACAGGAGGGGGTAGGGCGGGAGGGGTGGCAGGGAGAGGCAAGGAAGTGGGGCGGGGCAGGGGGCAGGGATGCAGACAGGTAGGAGAGGAGAACAGGCATTCCCAGAGAGCCAGAACAAAACAATACAGAAAACAGGAGAAGAAAAACAAAATGGACAAAACAGGAGAAGAATAGGAAACCTGTTAATCAAGGCAAATCATACATGTGACTCCATCCTGGTGCGGATTTATATCACGCCCCACACAGACCCGGGAACACCAGTGGCAACCTCTTGTCCTGCTGACACTGTCAGAAGGCACTGACGGGGACTGGTTCATTCCTCCTCCGGTAGCCTTACCCTGACTTCCCTGCTGGTCCTGTTTGCCCCCAGCAGTACAAACTTTTCAATTCCCAGGGCTGTGTGTGAGCGGTATAAACCGGATAGACGGTGCTCCAGCCGTGGGTGGGAATTCTGGTCCCAGGCTGTGACAGGGACATTGGCCTGGAAGTCAGGCCTCTCTCCTCCCCTGAACCCACAGGCGGAACGTCGTGTATCCCCCCTCTGTGGTGTGTGTGCAGCAGGAGGCGGTGGCTCGCGCTGAGTGGTGGGCTGAGGCTGCTTGTCAGAGTCGGCCTGTTGCTTCCACCTGGCTCTGTGGACAAGAGGGCTCTTTATTCCCCAGCATGCACCAGGTTGACGGCATGCTGGGGATAGAAGAAACAAAACCAGGAGGAGGAAGAGCATCTGCATGCCATGCTGCCCTCCCAGCTCTCCCACATGCGGCTGCAGGTTTCACCAGGGCGGAGTTTAAAGAGTCTCAGGCAGAGGCAGCTGTCCAGCCTCCGGAGCACTGAACCACTGTGTCACCAGCCCAAGCTAGCTCCGTCCATCGCCCAGGTAGGCTTCCTTCCTGAGCCTGGGTCCTCTTCCAGCTGCCTGGGCAGGGCTCTGCCTGAGGGAGTCCATGTGTCCCTCCTGCAGCACCAGGAGAGGGCTCCTTGTCTAGCAGTCTTGGCTTTGGATGGCTCTACACTGTAGAGCCACTGGGATGTAGAAAGTTCCCAGGGTATGGCAGTTTGAAAGGGAGGTCCTATGTGCCCCTGGACAATATCTTTGGTCTAAGCAACAGAAGTGACATGGCAATGGTGACAGTGCCCTCACAACTATATATGGCAGGACCCTCAGTGGCCCTTCATCTTCTACAGAGGCCATCCAGAATTCTCAGAGCTATTAAACTCTCCAATATATCCCAAAATCTATGCCTCCTTCACCTCTGCTTACGTGCTGCCCTAATTCTTTATTATTTCTCACCTCATTTTTGTCCTCTAGCTTCTCCCTACCTCAGTACTGGGGATTGAACCCAAAGGCACTCAACCACTGAGCTATATCTCCACCCCTTTTTTGAGACAGGGTCTTGCTAAGTTGTGCGGGCTGGCCTTGAACTTTTGACTTTCCCCGTCTCATCCTTCCGAGTTGCACACTCGGGAGGATTCCAGGTATGCACCACCTATAGCTTTTATGGTTACTTCTGGCCAAAGCACCCAGGACCTGGGAGGGTAGGCAGAGATAGGGACGGCCAAAGTCATACTGTGATTCATTATACATGAGACAATGACATGATTTAGCTAAAAATGAGGCCTCTCCGTCTCCAGAGACATAACTCCTCAATAGATTAAAAAGATTTCTGCATTTTCTGGGGGAGAGGGAGGGAGAGGTCCCTGTGGTTAAATGCAGAATAAGGTAGAACAGATTGTACGTGTTATGATGCGTATGTGTGTGCATGTGAATAAAAGTGAGATATCAAATTGGCCTTCATACTAAGTCTTGAACTCATTTCTGCCTTCCCTACCAACTGTGCCCTTCTTCTTACGTAACAGCTACTGGTTCTGGGAGGGTTTGGACCTCTTTAAACTCAAAGAAAAGCAACATGAAGGTTCTCTCATGTGGCGCAGTGGTGGTGGAGCAGAGGACGGAGAGGAAGGGTTAGATGTTGCATCCCACCACAGGTTATGGCTGGGGACTGGGAGCAAACCTTGCAAGCCACCCTGTAGGGGCAGTTCTCTCCCAGGCCCAGAGGTGGCGAGATCACCCGCACTAATTTGTACATATCCTTATACGGGATCCTGCCGCTGTAAAGGAAGCACAGGTGGGTTAATAGGATACTCAGAGAAGGGTGGAAAAGAAATGACAGCCTTGCCCTAAAGGGGAGACTGGAAGAAATGAGCACAGCCTCTTTTCTTGGGCCAGGCAAAGCCAGACCAGAGAACAGTAGCACCAGAGAACCATCACCTTGCCAAATGGTAGAGCCCCAGTTGTCTCAGGAAATCAGAGTTCATCCATTGCCAGAAGAGCCCCAGAGCGCCCTGATACACCTAAATGGCCCATACTTGGCCAGGTGCAGTCACAGCCCTGCCTCTAGCTAGGCTTCTAAGAACAAAGACAGCCCGTGAGCCTCTGCCTGAATTCCAGAGCCGATGCTGGGCTGCTGCAAACCAGACTGCAGAATGGTTTGCTTTTCAGAAAACAGACACTGATTATAGTCAGTTACTCAGACCCGCCTATCAGGGGCAATGGGAAGTCAGTGTCTTTCTGCAGACTGTAAGAGACAAATTTCCCATTAGGCTAATTAGCAAGGAGCACAGTTGGCACGAGAGAATTTGCAAAGGGCCTGGATTCTCTTTGAAACACATTTTTTCCTGAGAGCAGCCCGGGCAAACTCTCCTCTACTTGTGAAAGCCTTCTGGGATCCATGTTCTGAAAGCTCCCTGGGAGGAGCCCTGGATACCCTTTCCCCAGCTCCATTCCTGCCACCCAGAATCCAGATTGGGTCCAACCAGAATTCCAGGAACAAGGTTACTTGTCTTACCAAAGCCTTCTTTTGTGAACTTCGGGCTTCCTGTGGAAGGGACAGAATTAACAACTGACTAATTTTCAATGGTGAAATCATCTTTCCTATCATGGGCAAGAACAAGGCATGACCAGGGATCTGCAGACCTGGACCCAACCTGAAACTGACAAGGGTCTCACAGGAGATTATAAATATGGTATCTCCACCTCTGAACATCCAGTCCATACTGGCAGGCGTGTTGAGATGGGTGCCATGTCCTGGATTCATTATGTCTGGGTTCTTCTTGATTTGGGCATCCAAACTTCCTATTCTTCCAGAGAGCAGTTGGTCAGTACTTCCACATCGCTCACCTCTTGAGGGGATGTAATTTGACCATATAGTCTTTTATTTGACTCCTTAATGAAATTGGGAAGTAGGTGGGTTACCAGTAGCAACAGGCCAATGTCTTTTGCCACCTGTATGCATCTTCCTTTTGAAGACGTTGGTTCATTGTACTTTTGTTACACCCCTCCATTTCATACAGAAAGCTAAGGAAACTAACCCAAATGAGGTACACTGTAACTTTGTAAAACAGAAGAGGTTCTATGTATATTTGCTTAGCTCATGTGTCTGAGCCTTACGACAAGTCCTCATGGCACTGTCTCTTCCCAGCAGCTGGAATGAGCAAGGAGGAGCATGTTTAACGCACATGGCATTTGGATCCTGTGAAAGCAAAGGAAGCTGGGGTTTCTGGGAGCCTGGGACACCAAAGTGAGGCTAGATGAGCAATGAACTCCTTTATGAGCCAATGGTTTCTCTTTACTCTGGTAAGTGACCAAGTGCAGACCTGGACCTGAGTTCAGCCCCAGCAAACTCTCCACACTTTATAGAAGCTGACTTTCCTTACTTCCAACTTGCGTTTCCATATCATCGGGTACAATAACAGCGTGCACGATGCAATATCATCCTTGTGACCATCTTTCAAGGTAGGTAGGTAACATCACTGCTTGGCAGCTGAGGCAGCTCAGAGTAGTTTGGTGATGGGTCTAAAGCTGCAGAAGTGAAAGACGCAGACCTGGCTGCACTTTACCCCCCACCCCTGCCACTGCCCTATGTTTTCTAAGAGTTATATCCTGGAATGTGAGCCCAGAAAGGAAAAGCTGTCGCTCAGTCATTGTAACAGTAGTGAATTCAGATAATTCTGTGCCCTAAGTTATTAATAATTAAAGGAGAGGAGAAATTCCAATTCATCCATTCAACCTCCAAAACAGTAACCCAAGTTCGATAGCCTCCCAGGGGGATGAATCAGATTTTGAAGGGAGTTCCAGGTGGAAGCAACGTGGTCCATTCCTGTGAAGGACAATGTCTCCTGTAGTATTTTCAGAGGGGGACCAGAATGGATAGAATGATAAGTTATGACCCAGAAGCTAAGATGACCTGGGCCAGAAAAGTTCATAGAAATGTCACCCTCAACCATGAGTGCCAAAAGGCTAACTTTGTACTCTGAAGCAGGGGTTGGCAAACTCATTTGACAATAAACTTTTGATAATAAAATATTTTGATAATAAATGTCTTTGAATTTGAGTATAATATCATCTTTGTCAAACACTGTACTCTCTCTTTTAGTGTGAAAGCTGCCATAGGTAATACATATGTGTATGGTGCAGCCGTGCTCTAATAAAACTTTATTGGCAAAAACAGTGGACCAAACTTAGCCCAGGAGCAGTAGTTTGCTAACCCCTGTTCTAAAGCCCAAAAGAAGTAACATCACTTCAGAACTTCCAAACAGTAAGAAAGATTTTTTAAAAATAGATTATCCCTGCCAATTCCTGCCATTTAATTCAGTTCCACATAATTAAAATCCCATAAGTGCTCAAGAGAACAGTTGAAAGAACTTGTTTGGTTTTCAGTGTACAATTTCAGAGTTTATCCAACTGTATCTGTTGAGCAGGGTGAGGGAGGTAAACATTACTGATCATGGTGACCAAATAAATGTCTCTCTGAGCTAGAAAATCCTTATAAAACCCTTTGGTCACTCAAAAGAGTCCACTAGCATTGGCAAGAAGAGAAGGAAGATTACTGGACGCTCCTCTGGGAGTGGACCCAAACAATCCACATGAGAACTTTGCGGAGATTGGCAAAGTCAAGCCTGTTACAGAAGGAAAGAGGGTCAAGAAGCACAGGGTAAGCCTCTGAGGACTAGTCCAATGCCAAGGCCTCTTCATGGGCCACCACAAAGAGGAGTCTCCTCTCCTTCTATAATAGGTAAACATTTGGGTGGCTCCAATGCCAACCTCTTCCCTGAGAACTCCATAGACCCTGGATCTCTGGGTGGCCCAGAGACCTACGCACCATGCTGCTCTGTCATATTCTGCCCAGACGCGAACAAACTCATCCAAGTGGTGAGGCCCCAGGATGGAGGAGTCCCGAGTCAGGTACTCAAAGTTGTCCATGATGACAGCCACAAACAGGTTGAGCATCTGAAGGGCACAGGGGAGAAGAGAAGTTAGGAGCAACCTAAAGCAGAGCTCAGGAAGCAAAAAAAGAAGCTTCAAGGCACATAAAAGATTTCAAAAGTGTGTAAGACTGAAACTCCTAGCAAAGCGCATCAATCTTGCTGAAGGCAACATTTTTTCATTATTCATACTGCACATTCATCATGTGAGCATTATGTTTTCATTTTTCTATGCCATTTCATATTTGCAAAATACTCCATAGCCACTTTTATTATCTCTTCAATTAATTTAATTGTTCTTGTGGCAGCAGAACAGAGGTAGCAACCTCAGCATTCTCAAAGCCTAGAGAAAGTCAAGGCCTGATACCAATCTTCCCTCTCCAACCTCCCTCCTCACCTCTTGCTCTACAGAAAGGACCCAGAAAGAGAACTGGTGAGAGGTTTCAGAGCTGAGGGGGTGGCAGACTGCATGAGGACAAGAAGCTCTTTGTGGATCTGAAGCAGCTTTTCCTGGACCCTGTTCTCCCACATGTCTGCTCAGCCCACCCTTCAGAGACACATTTCCAGGCCTAGAACACTGCTTGAAGCACCCAAGGCCTTCACTAGATAGTATCACTTGAATATTCTTGCAGAATTACATAGTATTTAGAAAAGACAGTGATGTATTGGAAACATAAAAATGTTACAAATAGCAAGAGCCATGAAAGCAGTACATGCAGATGATAGTGGAGACAGAAAGGAGTACGAAGGCAACTTTTCCTAGCTGAGAAGATTCTTGAACTGAGTCCTGCAAGATCAAGCCCTACTTATCAGACAGACACAGGTCTATAAGGCAATATTTTAGGTAGAGGCAGCATAATGGAAGAGAACACAGACATAGGCAGGGACAGGGACCCTCCAGGAATCGGTAAGGAGGGCAGAGTAGTGGGACCAAGGGCTGAGTCACCAGCCCTTGGTATCTCATCAACCTCATTAGAAAGTCTAGACCAAGAGTGGTGACCTGGACAATAGCGCATATCACAGGCCTTGCTCTTCAGCTCCACTGTCCTAGTACCCAGCAGCTGACAGTATGGATACAAATGAGCATGGCCGTTTTCCAAGAAGGCTTTGTTTATGGACACTGAAATTTGAATTTCATATAATTTCAACATGTTATGAAACAGTATTCATCTTTTTTTTTTCCTCCCCCAATTCTAAAGAATATAAAAACATTGTTAGCTTACGGGCCATATAAAAGCAGGTGGCAAATCAGATTTGGCCCATGGGCTATCATTTGCAGAACTGTGGTCTAGACTATTATGCAGGCAACAGGAGCCACGAAAGGGGTATAAACAGAGGCAAGACCAAGGGACATGCACATTCAGAAAGAACCCTTGGTAACTGTGCAGGGGTGGGCAGGAGACCAGCAGGAGGGTCTTGTGGTGCTTCTGAATCAAGCCAGAGGCCAGGAGAATAGCAAAACCAGGATTAGAGAGTTAATGAAGTTGGACTCCTTAGTACTTGATGACCAGCAGTTAATTTTGTTTCTTGGGTGCCCAGCCCCTAATGACAATATTTCTGGCATAGGTTCTTGCCTATTCCTAGTTAGTGTGGTTCAATGGGCACCATGCTATGACCCAGTCACTGAATCCTACTTCCTTGGGCTGCAGTGATTGGTGACCCAATCAAAGCCAATAAAAGAATAAAAGACTAGCATGTAAGGATATGAGGTCTACAGCTGCTGATGCAGCCATCAAGGGACCAAAAGATGGAGTGTTTGAGAAACAAGTAGAGGAAGAAACCTATAAACAGAGAAAGCTCATCCTGGCAATGTCATATGAGCCCCATATCAGGCCTTGCTTCAGCCTGCCCAGGACACCTCACTGCCATGAGCCTGTAAAATCCCATCTTGCTTCGGCTGGGTCAGTTGTGCTTTCTGTTATTCGCAGTTCTCCGATAGAGACTAACCAGCCAGTGGGATGAAAAACAGGACGCTCTCAGGTGGATTCCCAGGTTACATGGCTGCCGTATACACAGAGGTGCCATATACACAGACAGGGTAAGGAAAGTCTAGGAAGGACATGGTTGGAGAGTCCCCTCTGCAACATGAAGAGAGTGCATTCCAAACTAATAGCCAGTCTCTTCTATCACTCCTTCCTGCTACCTCAAACAGAAGTGGATGGCTGGTGGTCTGCTTGTCTTCTCTTGCCATAAGGGTGAAGACACTCCCTAGGGGTGTCGCAGGCATGAGTAGGTCCTAACAGCTCTGTAGAGCCACCATAACAAGCCCGTCCACCTTCCTTCAGACTCTACTCACATGAGAGGGAAATCAATGTCCCGCCTGGTTAAGCTGCTGCTATTTGGGGGTTTCTGTCTCATGGAGGTAAACTTTATCCAAACATGGGCTTTTGTTTCTGTCACTGAGATTGGAGCCATTGTGAATTTATTCAACCACTGCTTGGATTATAAAGAGTTCTCTATATATGCACAGATTTCTTTTGTGCTCCTTACAGAGTACCTATTGTTACTGTTGACAAAAATATTTGCATCGTTGTTACCTCACCTTTGTACAGTCTTCAAGAGAGTGCCCGGTGCATTCACACCTATTGTTTGTTTTAATGCTCACTCTCATCCTGGTGAGGCAGGTTTACCACCGGCCCTTCAAGGAAACAAGTGCTTTGATCCACATTTGTGTTCTGAGCCCCCAGTACAATGGCTGGCTGTGCATCAGGCAATCTCTGAAGAATGGTCTCAGCTGAGAAGTTGTGTGACTTGCCCAAGGTCACAAACTCAGTCTCACATAGAGCTGATATTTGAGAGCAGGTCATCTTGTACTGAATATAGCTTCATTAAAAATAACATTAATGTGAATTATGCAGCACCCTCTATCTTGAAACTCTAAAAGTACCTTTATAGCCTCTAATTAATTTTCCAGTTATATCTTTGGTTTCTTTTAAATATTTATTATTAAACACTTAAACCATGTAGGATAAAACTGGGATGTCCGCATGCCCTTCTTTCTGCTCCATTTCACCCCTACCGATGCACTCATACCCTGTAACCTGACTTTCCTCTTTTGACTATTGGTAACTGAGGAAATGAACCTTGATGACAGTTCTATCCCAGTGCCTAGCACAATGCCAGCCTTTAACAGTCACTTGATAAAAATGTGCCAAGGGTGTGAAAAAATAAACTTAAAACTCCAATTAATAACAACATTCTGTTTTCTTTCAGTTATTTTCCTCATACATTATGCTTCTAGATTTATAAACAGGATGCTGTCTTGTTATTTTTCCATGGCAAGATGTTTCACTCCCAAGAAGGAAGTGTATTAAAACACATGTATCAGTTCACTGTGCATAAAATTTGCATTACCCAGCCATTTTTTTTCTCCCATTTTAAAGATACTATGAAAAGGAAGGCATCTTGGCCAAGGCTAATATATAAATGAAGCCAAGGCCACAGAGGGGCTCCCCCAGGCTGCAGCTGGCTCACTCCCTGTATCATGAACCTGTGACCCCCCCCTTCCACCTGCCTGCAAGCCCCTCCCACTCACTGGAGAGAGCTGGACCTCGGGAAGGCACTGCCCCCTGTGATCACTACAAAGAGTGGAAATGCCTGGACATGAGACGGTTAACTTGCCTTTTGATGCAAGGCCATGGACCCGACCACTTTTCAGCAGTAACACTGTTTTAGTTTGGGATTTTTTTGTACTGCCAGTGGCCTGAGCAGTGAGGCTGAGCTGAGGCAGGTCAGAGTGGCCAGAAACAGCACGATGACCCTTTTATTGATCTGGTAGCACCTTATACATTTACTCTGTTTACCACTGCTTGTCTGATGTACAAGGCAGAAATTTCTGGATGCTGGGGACTCATGTTTTCTTCAAAAGAAAGAAGAGAGACATCGGCATTAGGACTCTCACCACTTTCTAAGTGGGTATGCTCCACATACGCACTTAGTATTTACTGTCACACAAAGAACCCCATCCTTTCACACCTCCAAGCTGGCCAGTTGTCATCAAATCTGATGACATGTCAGGAGTTTTGGGAAAAGTATAAACGGCAGCCGCACCCCAGAGAAAAACCCTAAGGACCTCTTCTTCCTTCCTTCCTCTTTTCTGCAGTGGTGCGAAAAGTTCCCGCCCGTGTGAACTCTCCCGCCGGCGCCAATTTCAAATCTCGCTGGCGGGGAACCTTAGCCCCAATAAGAACTAATTCCTGGGCTCCGGAGCTGATATCTGGAAGAACTTGCCAATAAACGGGTTGCCTGCCATTTATCTAAGCCCTACCATCTCCCCTTAGTTCTATATAAGCACACAGCCTTTTGCAATAAAATTGGAATTCTCCCGGCGAAGTGTCTTTGCGTGGGGAATTCTTTCAAGGAGAGAACCACATCTGTCATCTTGAACATTATCACTCTACTCTTATTAATCCTGTCACCTTCTTTGTCCAAAGTGCTTTTTCTCAAATAGTTCAAAACTCCAAGAGAGGGGCAAAGTGCTCCTGGCTGTAGTCATAAGACACCTGAGGTACAAAAGAGAACAGATTTGCCCTGGGTCACTGCGGAGTCCACAGTGTACAGTCACTGAATGCCTGAAGCCTTCTCCCTGCTCACAACAGTTCTTCCCTACAAGGTGGCAAAGACTCATCAACCAGCAAAAGTCACCCACCCAGAGCCCAAGGAGTATCCTGACCTCCAAGAGTCCTCTGGAGGAGGACCCATCCTTTCACATGGGCTGGAGTCTGAGGGGAGGGAAGGAAGACAGCGGGGAGAGAAGAGGAAGGCGTGCATCAGACAGACTGGGGCAGGTGGCACAGGCTACACCTCAAGCAAGAACAGGACCACGACGTTGCTCACCAAGAAGGAGCAGAAGAAGATGAAGGAGACAAAGTAAACGTAGGCCAGGTCGGTGCCGCAGCGCTCATTCTCATTCTGCCCTGACGGGGCAGTGGTGTCGGGCTCGCAGCCTTTCTCCCCAAGGCACGACAGCATAATCTCCTGCCAAGCCTCGCCTGTGGCACTCCTGAGCCAGAGACAGTGTGGTTAGGAGGAGCACATCAGCTTGCCCTGGCCCTCCTCAGGCCCGTTTCCCATTTGTCCCATCCTTTGCCCTGCAATAGGCCCTGTGAGCTCCTTTCTTACACACATGGCCCTTCTAGTGCTTTCCACGCAGACATGAAAATGCCAATGCCCTCTCCTGGGTTGTGCATCCCACCCACTGCTTCTCTGTCTGCTGAGGAGTCTCTACTGACACTGGGGACAGCAGTGGGGCTCTAAACTAACCTAGCCACCTAAGGTGTCAGCTCTAAAATGGAGTCGGCCTGCCACAAACTGTCCTTGTCTCCCCCTCCCCAACCCCTGGAGGATATGTTCAAGTTGAAATGCGCAAACTAGCTACTGAGTCAGAGTCACTGAAGAAACCTCCTTTTGTCATGGGATAGTTTGGCAAAGGCATTGTCCCCTGCCCCCTTCCACATATCCCAATGGGAGCAGAAGGAGCAGGACAAAGGGAAGTGGGCCATGGGTTGACAGCTCCCAACTTTCCCTCTGTCAAGAGGCTTCAGATAGAACAGTTACGTATCCAAGTACCTGAAGAGTAGCATGAGGGACCCAAAGAAACTCCGGAAGTTGTTGTGCCGATTGATGTGACTCTCCTCGTCTAATTTTATATTTCCAAATACCTTGGGGAGAAAAACAACAGAAAGCAATGAGCATCGCTGAACTGCCTGTCCAGCATGGGCCATCAGATGCACCTGGGGGAGCGTGAAGCTACCTGTATGACTTCCTGATGGCATATCCCGGAAGCAGATGGCTCAGACCCAAAGAGCTGGGGACACTATACTTTTAGCCTGGTAGGAGGACTCATGGTCTTCCCCACCACAGCAGTGCACTGAAGGCGGCTAACACTGGAAGTGCCAGGCCGAGCAGAGAGCACAAAGTCTTGTAATTGAAAGATCACTGTGCCTGCATGGAGTTCCTCCCACACCTAATTTAGTCTTTTTATTCCCTTGTTACCTGTCACCACAGTACTCGAGCCGTCTGTCAAAGACTTTATCCCACAACAGGAGAACAGGGAAGGTCACCCTTTCTTTCTCTCTCTGGTTCATGATGGGAATATCTATATTTGCCAAAAATAACATTTATGGTTTGGGCAGATGCTGCTCTGGAATTTGCAAGCAGTTTATATCAGAGAGGGACATATCTGTCTGCCATACATATAAATTAGACCCTCTGGATAGAAATATATTTCAGTAATCTAAGTCCGTAAGAATGGACATGCACATATTCACATGCATAAACACAGCATCCTTCAGAGACCCACATTCTACCCCAAAGTGACCATTTATGCCAAAGCTGAAACAAAGTTCAGACAATGGCATGGAGAAAGTCAGGACAACTGGACACTTAGAAAAGAAAAATGGAAATGATAGCCAGTTCTAGCAGTAGAGGGAGGTCTGCTAATCTGCTGCTGGACTGTGGTCACTGTGAAAATTCATGAGAAAAGAGGTACCCACCCCCCAAAGATATTTATCCATAGGCACCCCAGAGCAAGGTCAAACCCAAGCCTTCTCTGAGAAGGCTGGCGTGCGTATACACACACACACACACACACACACACACACACAGTCTTCCTCCACTACATTTCAGATTACAGGATTTATTCTCACGAGTCAGTGTTGGTACAACTGAGGGCTTCCTGGGTCACTTTTTCCAGCCATCTGAGACAATTTTTAGCCCACATTTAGCATGCTTTAGTTTATCCAATGTCTGCTAAATGGAACACATTTTTCCCCTAACAGTTTTTAGAATGTGCAATTGAGGAACAATCTCTGCCCCCAGCTATTTTGCTCAAGTAACTCCCACTGACACCTGCTTTGGGAATTTGTTCTCAAAGCTGTTTTTCAAAACCCAAATACTACTTGTCTCAGGGAGAGTGGAGGTGGCAAATGAGGCAGCAGAGGGGAGAATGGAAAGAGGGAAGGAAGGTGGAGGGCCTTCAGAGAAATAATTGCATAAAAAAAAAATCCCACCCATGTGATCAAATCTAATTAGTTCTGGACACTCCAGGAGGAAACTGTCTTATGTTCTTGTCCCCTTCAAATCTCCTTTTCTTTTCATTCTCCTGGCTCAGAATCAATGGATTATCCTTGATCCATCAAATATACACAATTTACAGGGCTTTGTGTCCTCCTATGACGGTTCCCACAGAATCATCATTAATTGCTTTATCAAATATCCATCCCATCAAGAATTGTAGAAAGGCACACTGCAATTTTGCACATGCTTTATGTGCAACAGTCAAAGAAACCACAGCTCTTTTGAATTTTTTCTAAGATAATTTTCAAGTCAAAAATGTATGATTACAAAGGTAGTCTTTAAAATTTCTTTTCACTTAGACTTTGCTTAGTCTAAACCAAATCTCCTACATCAAAAGGACCTGGAAGAGAAAGAAGGGTTGCTTCAGCAAATTTCATGAGTATAGCCTTAAATCCATTTACACTTAGAGTCAGAGAACTTGACAGAAAAAGACGTGGGAGAGGATCTAAGCAACTTCTCCCCTGTATTGGTGAAGGAGTCCAAGCCCAGAGAGATTCAGTGACTTGATCAAGTTTGCCTACTGGTCAGTGGCAGAGCTAAGGCTGAAAACCTCACCTCACTTCTAACAGCCTGTCACCCTGGGATCCTTCTCACATGCAGCTCATCACTTCTTCCTAACATCTTCAGATTCTTCAACAAAGGTCTCTTCTCCCAAGAAGCCTTGGAAAGTTTGGAATAACAGTTCTTCTCATGGATACATCTAGTTGCCATTTATGTCTATCTAAAAGTTTCTCTCCCACCCTTTTGCCTATTTGTGTAGACCTCTGTTTTGTGGTAACTATGTCTGATACAGTCTCTCTAGTACCAAATGCAGAGGTGCCTGGTGCTGGGTCTCTGTCATGGACCAGCAATGGTAACAGCCTATCAAAGGTAAGTCTATGGTAGAAATGATACTCAAGTCTCTGGAGAATAAAAAGAGTTCTTATTTTTTAGAGAGGTCTAAGGAGGTTGACATTGAAGTTTAATGTAAAGACCACAATTTCATAATAGCTCCTACCTCCCACTAAAAGATTAAATATTTGTGTTTACCTGTCTGGTGGGATGTGATATGGTACAGAGCTAAGAATATGGGATGTGGAGCAGACAGAGCCGAATTCAAGTCTCAGTTCTTCCACTTACTATCTGAGAACTTGAACAAACTATAAGCTACTTAACCACCCTAACTATCAATGGAGGTGACACTCACCTATGTTTTCACATCACTCAGAACACATTAGTCAGCTCTTGTGCTCTCGTTGCCCTCTCTCTAGATAATCATGTATGCATGTGTCCATACATTTGCCACTGTGTATGGCACACTGAGGAACTCAAGGAAAGGGAAATAGCATGGTCATCAGGATCAGTATCATCCATAACAGGTCAGAATTGGAGACAGTGTTAGTTTGGTCACTGTGGCTTAAAGATAAAAAGGGGTAAGAGCTATTTTGAACATGAACAAACAGAACTTGATTGAATCACATTTCATTTGGCTGTTCAAGAATATTTAAATTCTAGGATCCAATTTTGGGGAGTTAGGAGGAACCTAATAGAAATTATCAAGTCAGTCTTAAACTTGAGCAGGAATTCTATTTCTACACTGCTGACACCATCACTACATCTTTACTGAAATATCCTCAGCAAAGAGAACTCAGTAGGTTCTCAAACAAGTTTCATTCTGATGCTTGACATTTCTGGAAAACAAAATTCTCCAGTAAAAGTGTTAAAAGAAGAAAGAAGTCAAGTCAGAGGAGCATAAAGAAGAGATGCTCTGGAAAGGGTTACTGATGCAGCCAACTTGGGAGACAGGACAGCAGCTCCAGGTGGCAGACACCGCTGAGAAGGCAGCTGGCAGTCCAAAGGCAGCCAGATGCCTGGCTGTAGGAGACTGCCAACTGAAGTCCTCTGCTGGGGTTTGATCGGGATCTCTATAAGCCAGAGAGCTAGCCCTTCTGAGACAAGCAAAAAGGCCGGGTATCCTGTCAGGTCCAGAGGATGTACTGCTGGCTATTTACGTTGTAGTTTACCACCACAGATGACTATTGCCTTTGAAAGAGCTTTGGCCTCTTCCGGCTCAGCAGCCTCTAGTTACTTGCATAAATACCCAGAATGGGAATGTGATCTGCTTCTCAAGTTCTGAAACTGGGGAGGAAGTGTTGAACCATGGGAACTGTCCAGCAGGTTGTATGGCCCTCTGACATAGGAATCAGTCAGAATGTGGCCCTTGAGTCTCCCTAAGATGGACAGCTGCCAGGAACTCTCAAGTTATTCACAATGATGAGTCTTAAGGCATAAATTTCAGCCAGTTAAGACTTAGCTCAGATGCATTTGGCGTCACCACATATAAGAGGAACCAACATCCAACTTTCTTTTGGGTCAAGTCTAAATACCAGAAATCCTGAGAAATGGATGATAAGATCTACCCCCTCCTCTTTAGTCTCTTTGGGGAATCCCTCTGGCTGAGAACAATGGCACTATCTTTGCTTTACTTCTGTTGTACCCAGATATCTAACTGCTTATAAGCCAGCACCATGATTTGATAACCTCAGATGTTCCTGAACAGACCATCCAGATAACAAGATGTGGTTCAAAGCATCCTCAATCCTGAACACTCAGGTTGCTGTGTCAGAGACAATCTAGGCAACAGTGGTCCCCCACCAGGCCCTGATGCACCAGCTCACCTGCATCCCGATGATGGCATAAATGAAGAAAAGCATGGCAATCAAAAGGCAGACATAGGGCAGGGCCTGGAAGGAAAGATGATCATTAATCAAAGGCAGCTTCCATACTCAACAGTCTGCAGTTACTTGCCCTGAGGCTAATTTAAACAGAGGACTGGGACTCTATTCCTTGTAACTGTTGGTTTGGTGCAACACTTTTTTTAGATGTCCCTGTCCTCCAACTGAAATGTAAACAGCTGACTATAGGGAGGCTTACAGTTGACCTTCTTTAAAGAATATTCACTCATCCAGAAACTTCGAATTCAGATTCAGTTGTTAGTGAGGATTTTAAGAAATGTGTGTCCAAGGAGAGTTCAGAAGACTTCCTGGGCTCAGAATTCATCTCAATTGGCATGCAGATTAATAATCTGAGCAATTGTGATGCAGATGACATAGCAAGCATCTAGCTTTGGTTTCCAAATCTCTGTATTTCTCCTTCCCAAGCTTGGTGTGGAGCCTAATGAATAATCTGGAAGCACATTAAAATGACTAGGGTCTCATATGTTGGTCTGTTCCTGAAAGGTTCTTTCATCTTCTGAGGAAACATCATTTATCAGTGCTTAAACCTCCTGATATTTCATTCTGCTTCAAGCAAAATTCCCAAAAGCCTTAGCTATGACAATACCCTGCCATGAATCCACACAGCGCAAGAAGATTCCATATTGTGTGTGCTTATTGACACTTTGGGATGACAGCATTTCCATAGGGGGATGGAGGGCAGATGAAGGGGATACAAGGCAAAGAGCCATTCTTTGTAGCTGGGGGAGGATCCACTCACAGGCAGTTTGAATTTGGGACCAGGAGGGGCCACTACTTCTAGGGTGATCTCCACACTGACATGAAGTCCTTCTTCTTTACCATCTATTACCCTTTCTGGCAGATACAGCTACTGCGAGTCTCCACCCTGTCTTGAGTGTTACACCAGGAGTCCCCGGAGAGTTGCTGAAGGCTTTCAGGCTGCTAGAGCAGAGCAGAGCTTATCAACAGAGCTAATGAAATGAGGAGCGCCATGAGACTATTTACAACTTGAATAGAGGAGAAAATTAAAATGCAGCTGAAAGCTGGTGGGAGAATCTCCTTCTCCAGTGAAGTCTGGACTCCCAAGACTAAGGAAACCCAGGGGTGTGGTGCCCAGGGACACTGGGAAAACTCCGTCGCTGGGGCTGAGAGTAAGGAGGCTGGGTTTCTGGCCACCTGGAGCACTGCTGCCTTCTATCTTTACTTCCTGTCCTTGTTCTACCTTCTCCACTCAAAGTCTCTAGTCCTAGTTCATCTCTCCCTACTCCCAGCTTTAGGGAGAAGACCAATGATTCCATCTGTTCTCCTTTTTTGTCAAGCCAAAAATTCCAACACAGAATAAGGGAAAAGTAGGAAGAACTTCTGAGGAGGGGAGAGCTGGAGAGTTGGACGATGCTTTGGGCTGGGTGGGGAGGTCCAGGTGACACTGCTTGTTTTATGCTGCTCTCGACTTTGTATCTGCAAAAGCAGGCTTTGTTAATCTGACTTTGAAGAAATTGGCTTCCGTGTCCCAGAGCTGTTTAGGAAAGGAAAATGCCTATCTATAACACTGTTACCTGGAGGCAGGTTCACCTGATCTCTGTAGTATTCACTGGAATAGGCCACCATTTGGCCAATTTTTGACATCCCTTTCTTTAACCTTAATAGTGCAGCTTCCCACAGACATGGCGATTGTGATAAAAATGACAGGATGACACATATTTCTTAAGATCCTCACTAACAACTGAAGCTTGTTGGACAATCCTCTGAAAATAAAAAACCAGCTTTAAAAGCATCACCCAAGACTCAGATGGTGGATTCTTGCAAAGGTTTTAGGTTTCTCCTCCATCATTTCACATTGGAAAAATAGTTTTCACTGAGATGAGGACTCTGTGGGAGTTATCATTCCTAACAATTACTCTGGACATGATAAAAACATCAAGGTTGTCCGTAGGAGCCTCAACATCCTTACAATTGTTCTCACATCTCAGACTTCAAGGTCTGTGATGAAGAATTAAATCAGTAATTATGATGTGGGGTGAACTCCCTTTCTAAATGATGACAAACCACAAATTTACTGGCCTGTCCTCTTTAGTCTTTTAATTAAGCTATATAATTAAAATAAGAGACAATTTGGCAAATTCATGATTTCTCATTTTTGAATCAATTTCATCAAATTTAATTTTAAACACATCAATTAAAAACTTTGTTTTTTTCAGCACAAGGAAAAGCCATTTGAATGATACATAAGCCTCCAAAACCTTAAAAGCCACTCATTTACGGTATTTGCTAGAGCTCAAGGATAAATATGTTTGAAAAACTTCTTTTACTGGAAGTTCCCACCACTGAAGTGAGTCTCGGGTGTTGATTTTTAATTTGCATTCATTACAGATACACTGCTGTATGGCCCCACAGGACTGTATAAAAGAAACTCCCTGTATTAACTTGCTCAGACATTCATATTTGTAGGTTACAGAGGTAACCATTAGCACACTACGCATTCAGTGGCTCAGGAAATAGACACCGATGAAGATGTAGGGGAACTGAGCATGAATCATCTTGCTAGGAGACACATTCAGTGAGTCCTCTGAAAAACTGTTATGTGAAATAAAATCACTGACAAGTCCCTGGAAATACAGAAGACATCTGACTACAGGTACCTGGCTCTGTGCTTGAGTGGGATTGCTCAGGGCAATTTGGAATACCAAATACCAAAATACTTAAATACCTCTTTAAGAGGAGAACCTACTTCATAAAGTATGTACCCAGCTTCTGCAGGGAGAGAGGAGGCCTAGGTTACAAAGGCAAAGTGACTTTTTAAAATACAAGTCTACCCAGAAACATGAGCTGATCACTACCTGTCCAGACAACCTGTGCTCTGAATGAAGAACTATAGTATTTATTAACATTTCCAACCACACACATTTTACTAACTTCACCTTCCCAGAGGTAAAGGGACAAAGGGAACGATGTTGGTTCCCAGTGCCATCTGGATCAATCGTCAGAAGGCACCTGGGTACCTCTTACCTTAAAGGACTGCACAAAGGTCCAAAGTAAAATGCGTATTGTGTAGCCCTGTCGCAGAAGCTTTATGAGGCGGGCAGCACGGAAAAGCTTCAGAAAGCTCATATTGAAGCCACTGGTGTTCACCAGCTGGTGGACCAAAAGGAAACATGCAATTAGGGACATTATGGTCATTTAGAAAAATCTAAGCACTAGTATTTGTGTATTTATTCCTCATTCAGACCACAAAATAGAACAGTCTTTGTTAACCCCAGCTGCAGCTGATAGGCCAATCAGTGAGTCCATCTCTCTAAGCCTTCCCAGGCCTGCCCTCTGCTCCCACGTAGAAGGACAGGGGAATCATCCCTGCCTACCTCAGTCAAAACTGGCCTCCCTAGCCTCTACCAAGTGGTCTGAAGTCTGCACTTAGGTGCTAAAAGTGCAGATCTAGTAATTCCTGCAGTATTCAAAGAGAGTTACAAGGAGCTTTCCAAGTCTTCTTTAGAATGAGCAAATTTGGGGAATCTATTCAAGTCTAAGGCTTTAGAGGGCACAGACAGTGTGCCTTTTTTGAGACTCTAGCAGAACTCTGCATACCAGCTTTCTTCTGACATCCCCTGTTCCACTTACCCCACTAGGTTTCTGCTGTTTGATGCAAGCAAGGAAAGATTTCCATGAGATCCAGCACCACTCCAAAGAGGGAAGGAGTGAACTCCCAACAATTAGAGGGGGACACAGTTTATTTGGTGGGTTACAAATGGACTGAATGTGAAGAGATTTTTTTAAAATGCTATTCCAGGGCCAAGCTTAAAGACAAGGGTCTCCTGAGCCATTCACCTTGCTGTCAGTCAGGATAATTTCTGTGATGCTGCCAATCACGGTGATGAAGTCAAAGATATTCCAGGTGTCTCGGAAATAGTTCTGCCAAATGAAATCAGTTGTAGGAACATTAGAAAAAGGAAAAGAGATAAAAAAGTGAGGAAGGGAAAAAGGCATCTTTCATTATATAACTTTGTCACTTAGAATTAAAACTTGTCAATTCATGCACAAGTTCATTCTAACTTTGGCTTCAGTTTCCTATTTCTAACCAGAAATTCTATTTTTTTTTAACTAATTTGAGAATTTCTCCTTTGGAAAGCAGTTCCATCACTATTTGAAGACCTTATTTGAAATTGTCACTAAAAAGCCTATATGCAAGAATTTTTTAGCAAATATTTATTTTTAAATGACCGAGGTAATGATTCACAAATTAAAAGCACCATATTTAATCTGCACAATTTGGTGAGTTTGGAAATAATTATATAACTGTGAGACCATTTAAAACCATTACACAACCATCACTTTCAAATTGTCAATATTATATCAAGTGACCCTATAAAAAATACAGTTCTGACTTTCATCAATCAAAAAAAAAAAAAAAAAAAAAGCCACCTCCTACATTATAATCCACTACAGGTCACAGACATGCCAAAAAACAATCTTCTAATTCCATTGAGCCCTTTTGAATTAACAACTCATTGACAGTAAGATGAATAGACTTCATCTTCCCCTCTTCTTCTGCTGTTACACTTTTTGAGGAAGTGTATCCAAGTTTAAAAAAAAAAGCAGCAATAAAATAAGTGGTCTGAAGGAGGCAGAAAGGATCCGGAAGATCCACCAAGCAGACAACCCTCCCCTTAATCAGAGGACTGTACATCGATCCTCTTAGCTCAAGTGAACAGGCCTTGGATTATGTTCCTTACAATAGGAAACTTAGGTCTCTGAAAAGGTCATGCTTGACCCTGGGCAGCACCTCCCTTAAGAGATTCTCAGGGAACTGCAGAAATGTCCCCCATCCTAGTCTCACGACTGCCATCAATGAGTCCCTACTATATGTTCCAGGCCCTTGGAATTCTTTCGACTCATTTATTCTTCTCATGGATCTTGTAAGTAGGTGGTGATAAATGCCCCATATCCAAAAAGTACTGAGTAGAAGGATTGGCAAGGGAAATGAAGAAAGAGGCAATAGAGGGAAAAGGAGTGTACAGAGAGAGCAGTTCATTTAATGAGCACCCATGTATCTAAGGCAATAAGGTAGCTCCTGCTATCCTCGCTTGTGTGTGTGAGAAACCAGGCTGATTCAGTTCGAAAGGCACATGAACCTCCAGGGCATATGGAGAAACTGACACACACAGCTTCACTGAGAAGCTTATTTTCCATTAGGCTACTAAGTTCATGATGGTGGAGCCAAGTTGGGTCTCTGAATTTCTCAATTTTCAGGGTTCCCCTATTCTCCAACCTGGGTAAACCTCCTAACTCTTGGTTCAGAGGACCAGAAGACTTGGGTTCCATTGAGGATGTTTTACAATACAGAAGAGCATACTGTAGCATAAAATAGGAGAGTGTAGTACAGTACTCCCCCCCCCTCCATGTGTGGTTTCATTTTCCACTATTTCAGTTACTTGTAGTCCAAAAATATTCAGTGGGAAATTCAAGAAATAAACAATTCATAAGTTTTACATTGCACGGCATTCCAAGTTGCATGATGAAATATTATACCATCCCACTCCACCCCACCAAGATCATGAATCATTTCCTTTGTCCAGTGTACCCATACTATATATGCTATCCATTAGTCACATAGTTGCTGTGTAGTTATCAGATCACCTACAGTGCTTGTATTCAATAACCCTTATTTCATTTAGTAATGGCCCCAGAGCACAAAAGTAGTGATATTGGCAATCCAGACATACCAAAGAGAAATTGTAAAATGTTTCCTTTAAGTGAAAAGGTGAAAGTTCTCAATAGGAAGGGAAAAAAACCACAGTACAGTTATGTGCTATGCTCATAATGACATTTCTATTTATGATAGATATAATAATGCCTATCTAACATAGCTATTTTGAAGATAAAATGAATATGTATTAATTTTATTCAGTTATAAGGTATGTCGCTTCTTTCCCTCTTTTTCTTGTTCTCTTTTTATTTCCACTCTGCTTTCCAATTCTACAACATTTTATCATGTAATCTTTAAAAATGTAGGCAACTTTTTGATTTCCTAATTAAAAAATAATAATATGGCCATAATGATGAGATCTGCCATGCCCATTTCAGACTCACTGAGAAGATCTGACAACATAATATATATTGGGGTATTCTGAAAACCCAGAGTACTCTATCAATATAAAAGGTTAATCAGGACTAGTGGTGCCTTTGCAGCATGAATGAACGCCTCTACACCATGAATGAGAACACAGGGGTGAGGGTGGGAAGGAGGCAGGTCTCAGGGCCAAATCCTCAAATTAAGCCTGTGAGTATGTAGTCAGCATTAACCATAATTAGACACATAATTGGGGACTAAGTCACAGACACTGTCAATACTACATGCAAGTCATGAAGATGCATAGAGAAACTCTCCCTGTTGTGGTGATGGCTTCTCTCAGTTCACCCTACTTGGGGTTACACTGTAATAGTTCCTTTTTAACTTTTCATTTCCCCAATTCTCAAAACACTCAATAAGGGAGTCAAGTACACAACAGTGCAGCCCCCCAAGGGGCTTCCTTCAACTTTCCTCCCTGAACAACCCAATTAATAGTTTTTCAAAGAACCAGAAAGAGACCAAAAGCAGCCCCCACATTCAGCACTGACAACGAGCAAACCCAGCCCAGAGTCCCTATTAAAGCTGCTACCACACACACTTATTCAGATCCCCAGTGAAGTTTTCTTTCTTGCAGGGAAAACCATATATACACACGGAACTTGAACTTGAATTGGTAGCCCACACCCTAAATAAGGTGAGGCAGCTGTCAAGTGGGCTTATCTGCATCCCACTGAACTAGTGCATGCTGAAGGGCGGGGTGGGGCATGGGGAGGTGGTGGGGGGGGTATTTTGTTTAAAGGACAAGGAAGCAAAGGCCAGGTTTTCTTAACACTTAAGAGCAGATGCAAGAATTTGACAAACAATTATAATTAGTAGTTGAGGAGAAGTAAAAGGACAGCTCATGCTAGAAAAATTCACTGCCATCTCCCCCAAACCCAATTCCAGAACCCTCCCCCCACCCACCCTTTAAAGGTCATTGGCCTTTGTAAGCCTAAGTAATAAGCATTTATCTTCTTTGGCAGAAATTACTCTTTATGCTATTGAGAGGACGACTAATAGGTAAATCTGTTATTTGCTATGTAAGGGGTTATGAGGGGCAGGTATTTTTCCATTTGAGTCATAAAATTCTTATACCTTTTGCCAGTAAATAAGCACTCAAGGTTTATTAGTCTAATCTTCGCCATGCATCATTATACATAAGTTGCAGTTCTAGTAAAACCCAAATGGCCCCCCTTTGTCTGCTGACAGAATTTGACAGGGCCAGGGCAGATGGTTAGGTAGATATGGACCTGGGGAGATGCCTGCCTGACCCTGTCCCCCACAACCCCCCCCATCACCTCGTCTCTTAGGCAGTTTAACTGAGGAGTCAAAACGAGCCCACAATTCGGTGGGCAGGTGTGTGAACAATTTCTGGAATGGCAGTAACCACCCCTCTTCCAACAAACTTTGGGAATGTCCCCAAATGGAAGAGAAGACAAGCCTAATGCTGGGATTGATTGAGTGACATACCAAGAAGCCAAAAGCGATGATCTTTAGGACACATTCCAGGGAAAACACCATGGTGAAGGCGATATTCAAGTACTTGAGGGCCAGTTCATAGGTACAGGGAGCAGAGTAGTACTGCCGAGGAGAGAAGACAGAAAGACAGAGTCAAAGCCTTAACATGGGGGGGGTCACGCATGTCACTGAGTCCAGCCCTCTCTCAACCTGCCTTTGGGAAAACTGTGCATGGTTCAGGGAATGAGATAGACATTGAGTGCTAGACAGAATTACATATCCCGTGCAGCAAATGGAGCAAAACAATCCCGTGTCCTCTCGGACTCTTCGTGGCAAAAACCAGAGGTCTGCCTAGAGATGAAGGTGGCAGGGCAGAATCACTTCCCATGGTTGGGTGCTTTACCAGTTAGTGTTAAATAGGAGCAATCTCTCGCCTTTAAACCCCTCGGGGTCTGAAGGGCATTTTCCACCCTGGTTGGCGGCCGAGTCCCACCACAAGGTCTTAGAAGCCCTGGGACCACTAGGGTATGTGGCACTGCATTTGCCAATGGAGCCATGGAGTCCAAGAGGCTGGGATGTCGAATGAGGCGAGATTAAAATGAGACCCCACAGTGGAAGCATGGGTCAAGGGGCACGGGCTGCTATGCTGGGTGCTTTCCTGGGGCCTCTGGGCATGCACGGATCTTTGGGGAGGAGGAGTCACTGGCTTCACCTTCCTCTCACCTTCATCATCAGCACCACAGTGTTCAAGGCGATCATGGCCATGATGGTGTACTCAAAGGAAGGAGACACCACGAAGTGCCACACGCGATACTGGAAGGTGTGCCTGTTCTGTGGCATGTAGCGGGTGAGAGGCTTGGCGCTGATGGCGAAGTCGATGCATGCCCGCTGCAGAAAGGTCAGTTATTAGTCTACGCTCAGAGCCCCTAAGCCTTGCCCAGTGGTGGCCTCTCTGTCAGCCAGTTAGCAGAGGACAACCCAGGGATAAAAGGGCAGGATGACAGGAAAGCAAAATCAGCAACAGGGATCATCTGGACAAAACTACAGGCAAGAAGTCATCCGAAATGTGTTTGTAAAACTGGAGACATTCTGTCACATGGGGTGGGACTTAGTGGTTGTCACTAAAGTCCTTTTATGCAGTGTGTAGGTGAGATATGTAGGCAGAAAGCATTCCCTGATGGCCTTAGAAGTGAAGTTCTACAGGTTGAGAATCTCCTGTCTAAAATGCAGGCCAGGCACGGGGCTGCACACCCATAATCCCAGTGACTTGGGAGGCTGAGGCAGGAGGATTGCAAGTTGAAGGCCAGCCTTAGCCACTGCCACAAAATAAAAAATAAAAAGGGTTGGGGATGTGGTTAAGCACCCCTAGATTCAATTCCTGCTACCCAAAATCAAATAAAATTCATGAGACCAGAAATGTCTGGGATTTCAGATTTTTTCTGGATTTTGGAATATTTGCATATACCTATGACCAAACCTTTAGATGCCTCAGACACATAGTCTGAAGTTAATTTTATATAATATTGTTCATAATTTTCAACATTTTGTGGTGTGGAATTTCCCACCTATACAATCACTTTGCTGCAAGAAGTTTTGAGTTCTGCAGTTTTGGGGACTTTTGGATTAGAAATACTCAACCTATATCTGCCTATGCATCACATTTTATAGTCCCTGACAGATTCTAGTTCAGTTCCATTGTGAAGCAACACCACCACCAACTATGAAACCCCATAATGTGCCCAAACTATGCTTACTTCTGGAAAAGTAGTCATGAGACATGTTCCTACCCTTAGAGCAAATACATACCAGACAAGCAAATATCTTAATATCGTAATTATGGCAAACATCTTTTCCTTCTAGACTGTTTATTTAATGATCTTCTCTATAACCCCATAATAAAGTTAGAAAACTACAATCTTTCCCTCCAATCCCGATGGTCCAGAGAGTTCTGTCTGAAGACCCTGCCATGCTGGGCTGCAGACAACCTGTGGTTACCTCGTTCTTCTCCAGGCTGCACTCCTCCATCATCTTGTCTCCCTGTTCCTGGAAGGTGATGATGATGAGAGCCACGAATATATTGACAAAGAAGAAAGGGAAGACCACAAAGTAGACCACGTAAAAGATGGACATCTCCATGCGGTTGCTGCGGCTTGGGCCTCGGTCTTCCTCCGTCACGTCTACGGAATGCTGCAGAACCCTGTGGGGACAGAAAGAGGGCACACTAATGTTTGGATGACAGTCTGGGCTTCATCAGGAGTTGCTCTGACTTTTGTATTTTTTACTGGAACTATTTGGCTTTGTAGTTCCTCCATTAATTTTTTTTTGGGGGGGTCATTAAGCAAGTTGAAGACTGATGGGCACCCTACCCCATTACTTTTTCTAGTCCTTTTCCATTTACTTCCAATGTCTGGAAATGTTGATGAACAGAATGACAGAATTTTAAGGTTTAGGTTGTCATATTCAATATCAGAAGGCTTCTGGATTGCCATTTGACTTTTTCTTGACAACCGGAGTATTCTGTCACCACGAAGTAGCACAAGTCTCTGAGAAACTAGCCTTGAGCTAAGGGCAGCACAAGAACCAGCCCTGTTGTTGTCGTCTTCAGAAGATCACAGGAAGAGTCTGTGGGTTCTGCTAATTCATCCTATTCCTCCATCCTCAGGTTCCCAAGTTCAAAGCCAACTTGGTAGATAAACTGTCTAAAATAGGCCCCAGGAAGTCTCCTGACAGTGGAGAGCTGATGAAAACTCATTGGTTTTACAGAAGTCAAATGTCTCCACTCAATTCCTTAATAATTGGCTAAAACAAGAGTTCAAATATTTCACTGGCTTTGCTGTCCCAACTCTCTGCCTGAAGGATTTTCCTTCTTCCCCTCTTATCTCACCCACTCATAACCACTTCCTTTCCCTGGTACAATAACAAAGGATTAGACTTGTTCATCTTGAATCAGCTTCTCAACTGAACCAACTGCAGCTCCTCACTCACTGAGGCCATCCTTCCCCTGTGGAGACCGTGAATAGGGTCAGCAGGGCCCAGATGATGTTGTCGTAGTGGAATTCATGGCGCTTCCATTCCCGGCCCTTCACCTCCATCTTGTTTTTTTCATGGTCTACGTAATTGCCTCTAAAACCAGAGTAGAAATAAAATAGGTCGTTTTCACTATAACTCATGAAAGAATTGGAAGATTCTACAGACTTCAAGAATGTGACGGAACAATCTTCATAACAGAAATGCAAAGAAGGAATTTTATTAAAGGCGGGTGTTACCATGGGATAAAAACAGGATCCCAATAGATTTGGGATTAAATTCTAACCCTTTACTAGTAACGCTGAGCAACTTAAATTTTGAATCTGTTTCTACCTCCATAATATGCAAATAAAACCCATCTCAACAGGTCATTAAAAGGATTTAAAATGAAAAATAATGCAAAATGTCTTTTACCATGTTTCACACAAGAGGTACTCAGAATAGTTAACCAACTTCCTATTTTATCTTTCAACTGAGAGAAAGGAGACAGAGTCCACTGTGGAGGATGGTGAAGGTCTCATCAGGACATGCTATAGCAAAAAGTAAGTGGTATGTGCTGTTGGAACTCACATGCACTCCTTCTCTGTGTCCTTGGAACTGTCTGTGCAATAAAAGAACTTTCCCTTGAAGAGCTGAACTGCGATGACAGCAAAGATGAACATGAAGAGCTTGTAGACGATGAGTATGTTGAAGACATTCTTCAAGGAGGTCACCACACAGTCGAACACTGCCTGTGGACAGCAAAGGGCCCTGGTATGTGAGTAGCTTGATAGCCCATGTACCTGCCCGGAGCTGAGGTGGCCACATCACCACCACCCAGCAGCACTGAGAGAACACCCCAAGAGATGTGGATTAAGAGCTGGCATCCGTGTTGGTCATGGTGGCATGGAACTGCCACCTGGGACAGGAACACATGCTCTGAGTCTGAAAACAAACCCAAAGCAGCAAACCCAAACCTGATGACAGAAAGCATCAGGAGGTGGTTGGTTTTGGGATTCCAGTCGGATTCTCAGTGTAAAGAAGTTTAATGTTGGATTTTTGAAATAATTCAGCCCATTTTAGCCATTAAATTGCTGTCCCTGACCGTATGCACATGAGGTAACATCTATAGATTTATTTATATACTGACTACATCTTATTTTCACCCTTTCTAAATGGAGAATGCAGTAATACCACATTCTCATCTTTGATCTCTTCAATGGTACTTTGCCATAAGTTCAGATATTTGCTCTGAGCATGTTCAACACTTCATGTAAACATCTTCTGCCTTGAAGCTGGTTGGATTGGGGATGAAGATTAACAGACATGATGCAGCATGGACCAAAACTGGGTAGGCTGGGTGAATAGAACCAGGGACATGCACTTCAGTTAAAACATAACAGGTCTTCCCTTCTGGGTCCTAAGATGTGAGGAATTTCCTGGGAGTTCAACACATTTAGGATGTTTTCTAGGTCTTCAGGTTTAGCTCACTGGAGAGAGTCTAGCCCCAGTTGACCATTTGTGTGGTTTCTTCTTCGCAGCACTGGGTAAAGCACTGCTGGTTTAATTAGCTCAGCACTGCGGGGAATGTGAGTGACACGCAACCTTGTGGAAGCATCAGAGCCACCCACGTCTCCCTTAGGTTATCACTGCAAAGCCAGGAAACAGCACTCTCTCATTTAATGGAATTAACTAAGGCTGGGTCACCTTCTCCAGCTTGTTAACTAATCTCTTCTAACCATGTGCATGCTCCTCAGGACTCACAGGAGCCTGGGTGCCGCTAACATGGTTGGGGCCCCAGGCAGCCTGGGCAAGGAGCACAGAGGAATGGGTACTTATGGGCACAAGCCCAGGCCAATTGCTGTGCTGGTGGGAAAGGACAACTAACAGGGTGTGTGGAAGGTCCTGCTCCAGAAGGGAAGGCAGGGGAGGCGGGGAGCAGGGAGGAAAGCAGCCACAAAGCCACTTCCTTTGGAGAAATAAGTGTTTCTGGCTGGGAGTCCACACACTGTTCAAGGCTCTGGGCCCAGGCAGTTCTGGGCCTTTCCAAAGGAACTTTCCTCCTTCCTTCCATCTGTCTGTCTGTCTATCCATCCTTTGCTTTTGGTAAACCCAGCTTGTTTTACCTCTACTTTGTAGAGCAGAAGGAATAGAGCAGCAGAGCTCCGAGATCAACAGGGTTTGGGGGGAAATATAGGGAGCTTCAGAGGTTATAAGAACCCAGAAGGAATCAGGAATTGGGACAGGGAGAAAGTGAAGCTTTGTCCTCTCAGAGAACAGAACCAGGCAGGCCAGAAGAATTGTTGGGTTTTCTTGCAGGACCACTCACGTCAGCTCACCACTAAACGTGTATTACAAAGCTTTTCCATTTTCTGACTGGAAGACGGTTCAGGACTAAGCTGTTTGCTGTGGACCGCAGAGCTCTTAAGTCTCTGAGCTGAGCCTGGCACTCATGTAGATTCTTTTTTCACATCGAGAGTCCTCAAACTGTGCTATTGAAAAGTCACCTGGGGAATGGGGTTTAGGAGGCCTAGTTCCAAGCTCCTCTTCTAGACAGCCTGGCTTTACTATCCTAGGGTGGCCCAAGGATCTGTATTTTCATCCAGGTGATCTGACACAGGGAAGCATTCTGGTGTAGCACGTGAAGATGGGGCTTGCCCTGGTATTGAGGCTGGTTCCACTGGCTGTGTGTCCTGGGTGGCAGCAGCAGGACTGCAAGCTACCAGCTGGGAGCCAAGAATTCACAGGAATTCAGGACAGGAGAACTTCTCTTCCGTGGTACCTTAGCTTCCATCAGCAACAATTCACATGGCAGCACCAGGGAGTGCTGCAAGTTCAACAGGCCAGCAAACCTGAATGGTCAAGCACACCCTGAGAGGCAGGAAGGCTTACGAAGGTGGGTACGGGGCAAGGCAAGGAAGAATCTGGTATGATGCCTATTAAAATCTAGGTCTGGGTAGAACTCATTTATCCCATTTCTTTCTGCATCTGCCAAAAATACAGAATAATATATTTGGACACATTATGGACTTATCTGTGCTTCAAAAATGTGAAAGGTTAAGGATAGAAGATCCTTTCCTCCTCTAAAATTATGAATAAAGGAAATATCCCAGGTGAGGGAGCCTCTCCCAGCATGCCTTGCACAACAGGAGCAAAGGGCTCCCACAACTTGCGTTATGGTATTCTAGGTCCATTTTAATGACACAGGAAGCTCCAGGACAAAGGCACACAGGCTTCTTCCTGGATGACATGCCACACCAGAGAGTATAAGATGCTATCCAGGTCTGGGCTCTAGAGGTGAAGCCCCCCTTATCGATTTCTTTGGAGGTTATTTTCCTTTGCAACTAAACCTTTAGGTCAGGCAAATGAACCCACAAGAAAGTAACATACCTGGAATGAATTCTCCAAAAGCTATCTGGCCATGGCCAGAAAGAGAAGATAGGAGATGGAAACTGTACAGAAACAAACTGAAAACATTACCTTGAGCTTGGGCAGACGCTTGATAGTTTTCAGTGGCCTCAGAACTCGGAGCACCCGCAGAGACTTGATGGTCTTGATGTCCCGCCCCTTGTTGGTTCTGTAGGAGAGAGGCCCGCAGGGAATCATACAGCCAGAGGAGAAATAAAAATGACAGTCACACTATTGCATTAATAAAAACAGGGCAAAGGGGAGAGATGTAGTCAAGAAGCTAGCAGTTGGGTCAATTGTTGACTTCTTCAGAGAAACTCCACACAAAAAAAATGTTTCATGAATATTCTCAAATCACTCCTCTTTGTGCACATCCGCCCACACAGGCACATCCATGTACAGATGGTCCCCCACCTACAATGGGTCAACTTAATGATTTTTTAACTTTATCATGTTGTAAAAGTGATATGCATTCAGTAGAAACTGTACTTCAAATTTTGACATTTTTCCTTGGCTAATGTTATGCCGTACAATACTTTCTTGAACTACTGGGCAGACACAGCTCCCCATCAAGCCACAAAGATCAGGAGGGTAAAGGCCTGATACTCTATAGATGAACAAACTATGTTGCTGAACTATGATGTTCAATAGATTAGATATATTAAATACACTTGAAACTTACAATATTTTAAGTTTTTGATGGGTTTACCAGGACACAACTCCATCATACGTCAAGGAGCTTCCGGGGACATATACAGGAACACACACTCACATTCTTACACATCTGAAGCACATCCTCCCCTTAAAGCCAGCCTAATGCTGCTCATTATCATGGTGGCCATTGAAGATAGAAGGTGCATCAACTGGGGAGCATGACCAGTGGCCCACGTGGCCTCCCTGCTTGACTAGTCCAGTGCCTCTCCATAGCAGGTTCAAGAGGGGACTTGACTCAGTCTAGGTTTGCCATCTCTGCAGGGAACTGACACCCTTGCTGGGAAGGCTTCTTGCTCCAGAGAAGGTATATCATGCAGGCTTCTTGCCCAGACCTTGTCTCACACTTCAATTATCTCTGCGTGGCTGGCTTTTCCCACAGTCCCTTCCATTTCAGACACTCTGTATCTAGCACAGGCTGCACAGAGCCACCCTGCTGGAGCAGGCCCTGCCCACTTCTATTGATGCCCTACAGCTAATGACCCTCCCTGTTCAGCCTCTTAGAAATGTTTGCTAATAGAGAAAACACCTTTTATTTCTAGGAATGAAATGAATAAGCTTAACTTGCATTCCTCTTTCCTTCCTGCTCATCCCGAGATCTTTGTATTCAATTAAAATAACTGCAATTTGTAAAACCTGCAGATGGTGGAAAACAAGACTCTAAACAGTGAGGTTGGGCTCTGACGCTCTCCTAATGTTGGTTCAGATTATAACAATTATTGGAGGAAAGGGAACCCAGAACATCAGGTGAGAACTACAAAAGTTCCTACCTGCATTTCCCTCTGCCATACCCACCCTCAGATAATAGCTTCTCCATACTTCATAGAAGGCAAGATAAGAAGACCTTTAACCTAAACCAAGCTTGCCAATTTTAACCAGAATATTAACTTTAACATTCTCTTAATGGTCTTAAGAGACCACAACCTACAAGTCATTTTTATTCAAACTTAAATATAAGCAATCCAAAAGTATCCTATTGATATCACTTAGCATTCAGGGTCATTGGTTTATTTTATAAGTTCTTTTGCTCTATTAGGACCACCTCTCTACATATTTAAAAGAGATGATATAAGAGTCAAATACTACCCAAACCAATAAGAATAGCCCTTTCCCAATAAGGTGTGGCAACTTTTTTGTTTGTTTTGGTCTTTTGGATATCAACAGAAACTCCCCACTCCTTTCTCAGTGGGTCAGCTCCTCCCCTCCCACCCATAGTTTCTTCCTCCTCCAACCACTCCCCATTTTTAATTCAAAGAAAATCAAACATATTTACCCCAAAGCGTTCCTATGGAGGATCCAATCAGAAAGCAGTTTTAAAGAGTGAAGGGGAGAAAGAAGACAGTTAAAAAATTCCGTGGAGAAGAGAAACCCTTACCGTGACAGACACTGGAGAAGCAGGCACACAAGACCCACCCACAGCCTTGGCACTTGCTGAGTCCATACGGTTAGCAAAGGGAAGAGACCACAGGGACAAAGGCCGTTCACAGGCACTAGTGAAAATGCCTCCAACTCACCAGATCCCAGGTTTGTGCTTTATCCCATGGAACCTAGTTTAATTGAACTTTCCTAAATGTGGACTCTGGTTTTCATTTCCTTAGTAGTTTTCAAGCTTCCCATTTCAAGTGAATTTATAAGCAAGCAGGCTAGAGAAGAGCGAGCACTCTGGGGCTAGAAACCCTCTCTCCATTTCAAGTCAGAGTATGTAGCTACACCTAGAAAGGCCTTCATCTGAAGAGGGACATGCAACCACTGTTTTAGTGCTACTCTGGCCCCTCTCCAAAGCTCAGATGACTGACATCACTTCCCCCTAAATAAGAGGGGGACAATATGTTTATCAAGGTTACACAAAAAAATCTACCTTTTGACAAGTGCTATATTGTCCCTTGTGAGTTATTTAATGTGCAACTTTTAGAAAAAAAATCCTCTGCAACCTAGTGGTAAAGCAGTAATAACCAAAATCAAAACTGGTATCTTTGAAATAAGAACTTTGTCTTAGCTTTTTGGTACTAGGCACTTTTAGTGCAAATCTTTTTAAACTTACTAACGATGTCAGGACATAGGTTTTACTCCTATTCTACAGGTGAGATTCAGAGGGTTAGTTGCAGAGCAGAGACTTGAACCCAAGTGTGTGTCATGCTTGTAGCTCCTGCTCCCACCAATGAGCTCTGTACCAGCAGGTTTTGGTTCATTTTGTCAAACGATTCACTGAATGAGATTTAGCAAATATCTCTGAATCCCACTTACTTGCAAGGGAAGCTGAAGCCCCTGGAAGAAGAACCCTGAATAAGATCATTTGGTAAGTTCAGAGTCACAGGTGAGCATGCATCTCTGGACTTCCCATCTTGCTTGGCTACCATGAATGGGTGCCCAGAATCCAGGCTTTAGTCTTAGCTGCTTGTGGCTATGCATGTTGCTTTTTCTTCCTTAATTTTCTCATGTCCCACACATATGTCACGCTAGGCCTGCTCTGGGCCAGAAACATTTGAAGGCATTTCAAGTCAGAGTCTGTAGCTGTGCCTAGAAGGACTTCATCTTTCACTTGTGGCCTGTGTCTGACTGATGCTCCTGCTCAAATCTGTGGGAGTCTGAAGGAGACAGAGAGCCCCCCAACAGTTTGGTAGACACACTCAGCTCTAGATGTTAAAGGGAACCAAGAATCCCAGTTTCCCAAACAAGAGGCATACAGACTGGTTAGAAACCTCTTTTGTTCCAAACCATGATATTTTATTAGGATATTTTTTGGGGGGGATATATGTCACAGACTTCTAATGTCCATTTTATCTCATCAGTGATTCCATATTCAACAATACATTAATTTTCACTATAAATGCCAAATGAATAGAGATCTGGGAATTAAACTTAAGGCCTTATAAACTTAAATATTTATGTGATAACCTCCAAATGTTTAGAAGGCAGAAATATCTTTCCTTGAGTTGTAATGGCATCTCCTCAAGCGAGGTTGGGCATCAGTAGGTCAGTGAAACACAACTTTATTCTTTCATATAACAAGCATCTATGGAGTCCTTCACCTATGTCAGGCACTGTTCCAGGTGCTGGAACAAATGAGGTGGCTAATCTTAGAATTTACCTAATCTAGTAGACAAGAGACCTCAAGTGCATACACACATAACTAAGTGTACTTGTAAGCTGCCATGGGTGACACAGAATTGTTTGATTAAAAATTAACCAAATGACAACATAAGTCACTCTTCTTTCCTCTGGCTACATGTCTTGAGGAAAAACTAGAGGAGAGTCTCCCACATTCTCAGGATGTAGGAGCAGGGTGGGGCACCCATACCCAGGCAGCTAGTCTAGATCCCATACACCTCCTGCTCAGCCCAGGCCCATACCTCAGAGACCTTTATATTCAGCAGCATTTGAATTGCTCCACACCAGAACCATCTAAGGTAGGAAGGCCCAATATTTCTTACACCTTCCATACCACCTGGATAAAGTACAAAATTTGCTCTTTATACTTAGCCTCCCCCAACCCTGCCAAATCCTAGTAAAATATTATGATATGGAACAAAAAGGGTTTCTAACCACTATATTGTCTCCCGTTTTGGAAAAGGGGATTCCTTGGTACATTGAGAGCCGAGTGTGTCTACCAAACTACTGGTGGGGGGGTTGTCCCATTCAGACTCCCAGAGACTTAATTAGGAGCAGCAAACATGGGCAAAAGAGAAATAAAGATTATCAATGCTCTGCACAGCTTTCAAATGTCTCTTTCTACACAACAGCCACTGAAAAGCAATGATTTTGTAGTGTGTGTGAAGCCCTAGATTCAATCCCCAGCAAAAAACAAATTTAAAAAAAAAAACAGCTATGATTTTGAATGATACAGAAAACATACTTGCATCCTGTCTTTTGTTAAGATAGGGTTAGCACCAACTTGAGAATTGCCATTGGAATAGCTAGATAACAAAGCCAGAGTCATGAAAAGCCTCAACATTTTTTCATTAATTAAAATATAATTTACACATGGACTAGACTAAAACACCTCTCCGAAATCCATTATGGAAGCCAACAAGTTGCAATGGAGGTGTTTCACCCAGCTAGGAGGACAAACTCTTTTTGCACTTTAATTGAAGCATACTCTTTAAGAAATAATTCATGTGTTATGAGTCACCTAAATAATCATTTGATAATACTATAATTTTTTTCATATTGCCTAGTAATTAATGGAATTTTAACAGGTTTAATAATTGATTCTAATGATACGATTTGAGGATAATTCCACACACTAGGATGTACTGATCCCACCTAAATTGGGACTCAATGGGGACACACATTTTACCACTTATTTCCTACTTATCTAGTAAGTTCCTGGCTGCTCTCCAGAAGAGGGGGGGGGGAACACAACAACAACATTTCTCTTATGTCTCATCAGAAAAGACAAGAAATTTCCAGCTCAGTTGTCAAGTTGCCCTCCAGATCTGTCATGTGTAATCATTTGTCATTCACTGTCATCTTGCTCTCTGGTTCCCAGGTCCTTTTCTCCAAGGACACACACACTTAAGTTGATTTCTGCTAAGAACTCACTCTCCTTCCATGGGGCAGACTGGGACATCAGGATCTGAAGAGCCCTTCACTAAGTGTCAAGGCTTCCTCCCTGAGCCCAGGAAGCAAGAACACAGGGATCTGCAGGAATCTCTAATCCTGGGAAGGGCTGAGCTTGCAGGAATGTGAGACAGGAGAAAGGGTCATGCTGGGAGGGGCCTCAAGTGTCTTGCTAAAGAATTGGGACTACAATTTGGTAGGCAATAATAACTACCATTTATCATACAACTTAAGTGTTTGGTACTGTTTTGAACTCTAAATATATTTTTTCTTATTTAATTCTCACAGGACCAAAAGATAGTAATTTTAAATTTATATTTACAATAAAGTAGTTCAGAGCGTTAAATCAGCTAATAATTAATAGTACTGGAATTCAGACCTAAGCTTCCTGACTCAAACCTAAGCTCTGTGTGATGTAATGACACCTTTCAAATGGGAACTATTGGAGGGTTTCAATCAAAGAAGGGCACAGGAAAAGGAACCAGCCATTTCTGAGCTCAAACACTAAGCTATCTTACTCCCCTTAGAGTCTAGATTCTGTTCACAGGAAGAAATAGTGACAGATGAAACATCAAGATGGACTAGCTCATGGATGCTCTTCTCCATCTGGCCTGCAGGTCTAGACAGGATGGGGCAGCTAAGGAGAGAGCCATACCAAGCCACTGCTCTGAGTTTCCAAGGATTAATGGTTGAAACTCACTAGAACATCATGGCAGAAGAGAGCTTAGTACAATGGAGAAAACACTAAACTCTAAATTGGCACACCGAGGTTGCTTAAGCAGCAGCTTTGGTATTCGCTAGTCCAAAGAGGCAAACTAGTCAAGCTCCCAGAAATTCATTTCTTACCTGTAAAGGAAGACTGTCATGTGATAAAGTGCTCATGGAAATGGGAAGGAATTTTTCCTTTCTGCACTGGCAATGCCTGTCTCACTAGACCTTGCGTAAGGCCAGCTCACTACTTGGGTAAAGAATCTAAATTCAGCACTTTGACCTTATTACTGCTTAGTTGCTACCACTGGAAATTATTTCTCTCTTTCTGGCCCATGCCTCAATTTCTTGGGGCCACCTAAGAACCTTAATTTCAATGTTACCTCTCATCTTTGTTCCATGCACAGTGCCTTGAGCATAATCCCGTCCTTCCTGCACGTGGACTTCAACCAGCTTCTCATACACACTCAGGAGAGCCTTCTGCAAACTTTCTCCTCTGCAGTACGCATCGCAATACTCCAACTGGAATGTATTTTTGCCCAAGTGCTGAGAAGCAGCAGGAGGCAGCGAAGCATCTCTCCTAGGAGTTTTGTTATTTAGTCTGGTAAACAGTGACCTGATTTGTATTTCTTCTAAGTCTTTGTATTCTAAACATACCCAAAGACCCCCCATCTGCTGATCTTTCAAGGAAGGTTTTGTCAGTTGAAGTCCAGCTAATATATTCTCCCAGATGGAGACTAATATTCAGTGCTATGCTGTGCCCCTATGAGTGTAGATTAAGCAGATGGCTGGCTGGTCACATGATATGGGCTGATATTTCTCGAGTCCCCTTGTGAAGTCTTCTGTCCTAAATTACTCTAAAACCTACTTTTAAATCTGGGGGGCACTGTGATGGGTTTCCACTAATCCTGCAGGACTGGGCTCTTTCCATAGCAGTGAAGCCTCACCTTTTGTATCTAGGTCTAGTTAGATCAGTTGCTGGGTATCATGTGGATAAAGCTGTGGTCCCTGATTGGA